GATTCCGAAGATGACTTGCCACTTCAAGAGTTACAAAAATGGATTCACTATCGTTCTAGAACGTCTTTCCAAAAACTTCTGGCGACACCAGATATGAAGCAAGCGGTTACTGTTAAACTACCACGGAAAAAAGCAATGAACTACAAAGCACAGACAATTACTAAGGACTTGTTCCAGCAAAATCCATCGAGCTCAAGGATTGTTCCAGATCAAGTTGCAGATTGGTATTGTCCAGCTTGCAAAGAAAATCGTTTATCAGACATGAGACAGTGCATGAAATGCCAAGTCTGGTACCATGAGGAGTGTGTTGGTCTGACAGAAAGCGAATTAATTTTTGAATGCCCCGAGTGTTAGTTTTTCAGTTCATGTTTTTTTTTGTTAATAATGCAGGAATGCTCTAATAATACCCGTTGCATTATCTATTTAATGTTCCTTTTCACTTAGCGAAGAAAAATGTTTCGTTTCTATTAGAAAGTTTTGTGCGGGTAGTAGCGTCCAAACATTGAAGACTTGTTTTTTTAAACTGTAAAATAGTTTTAAGCAGAATATATTTGTGCTTAGTTCAGTTTTTGCTTACTTTCATGTACCTTACACTGCATTTACCATAGGGCGTTAATATACTACTAGGTGGTTAATAACGCCCAAAAACACCATTTTTTGAAATGGCCTATAGAGGTCCTGTGATACTTTGAGAACTAAAAAAGGCTGAAATTTGTATTTATTTATCAATAAAGATGTTTTTACTAATGCAGTAGTTTATCAATCCTCACTCGTAATTAGTAGATTAAAAAAAGTTTGTTAAGTGGGCGTTAATACCCTCAGGTACCTTATAACTTAAAAATTTGAAATGAAAGACAAAATTTTTCTGTGACATACGATGACACTGATTGATGCTAAATGTTCTTGCTGGTATCTATGATTATTATTTTTGCCGTGCATTCCATTATTATCAATATTAAGTTAAGTTAGTCGAATTTTATTATAAACTCAAGTAGCTTCACAACGATTGAAGATGGGTATAAACTTTATTATACAAAAGCTACTAAAAACATTATAGAAAATCGAAAAATAAAAAAATGGGGGTTTCCATTTAAAAATCGCAATATCTTATTTTTGGATCACCCTGTATTATACGGCTATAGATGAAAAGACGTCCCCCTAGAAATGAAGATTGACCGAGCGTTTTCCCCAAAATATACCAGGAGAGTCACAAATGGAGGTGGGACCTTTTCCTTCGGCCACCTTGTATGTATATGTTACAGTCAAAACTCATGAGCGGTCAAAATCACTTTTGACTGCAAAAATCAGTCAAAATAGTTTTGACCGATATTCTTAGTTTAAAAACCGTTTAGACTGATTTTTGCAGTCAAAAGTAGTTTAGACCGGCGTTCTTATTCAAAAGTTGTTTTGCTTGACTTGAGTCGTAGGCCATCGGTCAAAACTCATTAAAAAATTATATTAAATTATGAGAAAAACATTTTTGAGGTAAAGCTCAAGTTCTTTGCCACTATAAAAATTAAAATTTAAATGATAGTGTACAAGACCTGTGATCTACAAATATACATAAAGACGAGCTCTATTTCCTTTTTCAAGTAGAAACAATTTCATATTAATAGTCTGTGGTGGATAGAACTGTTCGCATACATGGATGTTTACAAACTTTTGAATAAAGCTAGCTAGTTAATGTGGGCCAGATGTTGTAACTGTTTTTTGAACCAATTATAAATCGCCGTTTTGTTTGTCTCGCGAAGCCCTTTCATTTGATATCACATCATTAGGATTACTGAACAAATGATAAATCGACATTTTGTAGTACACATCATATTCGAAATGGCAACAGATAATTTATTATGTATCATCACAGAAATCAAATATGGATGTATACATTTCATTCCAGTTGGTTAACATTTACTGCTTCACAAAACAGTTACACGATTTGGCCCGTACTAACTAATAGGTCCAGTTAAATAAAAGTTTATAAAAACCCACGGACGTGAACAGTTCCGCCTAAAATATAAAATGGATTCTACCTGAGACAATTAATTGAGCTCGTATATCTATCTATCTTTTTACAGTTCGCAATGCCTATTAATCTCTAGATGGACAAAAAAAAATTTGAGCTTTACATATCCAAAATGGTTGGATTAAAACTTGTTTGATGATTATTCTGGTAATTTTTGGAAGTTATCTTATCCTTTTATGAGTTATGATCACTAAGTCAGGCAAAACCACTTTAGACTAAGAACATCGATCTAAACCTCTTCAGACTGCAAAAATTAGCCAAAACTGCTGTTGACTAAGGATATAAGTCAAAATCACTTTTCACTTTAGATTTCTGCAGTCGACGTTGGTTTTGACCGGTTATGAGCTTTGGCTGTAACATATACACTAGCGAAATCTTAGCTTGCTAACGCAACGCTGATTATTGTGGAAAATCTAACAACTGGAAAATGGCTGGTTCATCGTTTCTGGATACATAAATGACAATCTTTAAAATGCTAAATGACAGAGGTAGATATTAAGTGAGCTTCGTAGCACTGTTTCATGCAGCAAATTGTGTAACAAACATTTATTATTTTTAGTCTTAGATATACGAATAAAACAAAAGTAAAGAATAGAATTACATACAGTGCTATTCAAAAAAAGTCCTGCCTCCCAATTATTTTGAACATTTTGTAAATGTGTGATTCTACAAAAAACGATTAACTCAATGTCATCAATCAATAGATGTGAAGTTATATTAAATTTTGTTTATATTTAATTTTATTTTAAAACAACTAAAAGTCTTTTATTTGGTCCCCCAATTGCAGCGATTTATTCTCAATAAATCTTTTTGAAACAATACAAAATATCCTTAAAACGTCAGTCCTTTGGCATGTCACAATCCCAAAACCGTACAATCAAGTGGCCGTCTACTAAACATGACCATTAATTTAAGAAAACTTGCTATTTCACTACAATCTATGATCTCGTATAGTACAACTTTCATAATATAATATTTCCACCGTTAGTTATAAGAAATTAAGAAATTTTATGCTTAGTTCCACTCGTCAGTCCGTTGTGTGTTGTTCAAATATAAAATTCTCGCCAAATATTACCAACTCGAGATTGCATCCCTGTTGAATTTTAACGTCGGAAGACAGCTGAAGACCATGCCATTTGACAGCTGCCCATTCTAAGGCAGTGCTAGAGTCGTGAATACACGTGCCGATCCAGTCAAAATATCAGTACTGTGGTGAGGCAATGTTTCTTTACAAAAAAAAGTTTTATTTTGATTTATTTATGTAGTTACCTATAACGACAATACCAAAAGAAACATTCGTTCGAATTATAATCTCGGAATAAGGTCATTTTCGTCAGTACTTTGGCGTCAGTCCTTCGTCTAATATTGCGTCAATGGACTGACGGGCTTCCACGGCACTGATTTTTTTTTGTTTAGCTCGCTTTTATCTCAATGCAACTGTTTATAAGTATTGTTTTACTTATTACAGTTTAAACATCATGAAAAAAAAGAATTTGTCTAAAGAATATCGATTAAAGAAGAAAAAAGCCGAATTAAAAGCGGCTGCATTAAATTAGCTAAATTCAAAGAAAAACAAAGGTTGCCGTACTTAAAAAATAAGAAAGGGCAAAGAAAACCTTTGAAGCAACGGGTAACTAGAAAAAATGTAAAAGATCGGACAAAAAAGCAAGCTCATAATTCTATACATCAGAATACTGAGAACAAAATACAACCAGCTCCTGAAGAAAATTGACCAATTTTTAGCGCAGACCAAAGAGCGAAAGAAGTAGAAAAAAGTAGTGAAAGACAGAGGAAGTCCAGAAGTAAGCGATTAAAAAACTTTGAACTCAACTAAATACTCATCCTCAAAAATATAGACGAGTTGGAAAGCAGTTAAAGTAAATTATAAAATCTGTTAAAAATCGCCAAAAAAAAAACAAGTAAGTATAGTTATAACTAAAAAGAAGGCATTAGTGAAGAAGGCGGACTTATTAAAATTCAATTAGAATAATACTACACTAAAAGAAAAATCACCAGATCGGTGAAAGGTCAACATAGGTACATTGCATTGCTGGACCTGGTTAATTCAATAATTAGTTATTAGTAATTCGCTTGTGTACAGTGTTGGTACTACGGGGTCAGCAAAAAAGGTCAATGGTGACCTAGTTTTTAGGCGTCGCCTCACCACCACTTTTACTACTACACTAAAACAAAAAATCATGAAGAAAAAAAAACAGTTCAAAGAAACTATATTTTGAAATGTAACAGACAAATACAAACTGTGGAGAATACAAAACAGTGACTTCCTAAAAGACTGGACATAAGCTTGCAAAAGAAAAAATAATCAAAGTGCAACGTTTGGTTTTGGCAAATTTGATAAGATGATGCTAACAGTCAAGTAAGCAGCTGGAAAGCAGGAATGAGTGTCTGATAATACGTTATATAATACCATGCAGCAAGTGTATAATATATTTGCTGGGTGGTATGAGAAATCTTTGTGAATAGTTTTTGAGTAGTGTTCCATTTGTGACCAGATATTCCCTATTTACTTATTGTTGATAGTTACTATAACTATAAGACGTGCAGTTATTAGATTCTAAAGTTCTAATAAATTCCATGAAAGTGCATATTTTGTCAGTCCTATGTTACTTTTGTCAGTACCCTGGCGGTCAATTTCAGAAAAATCGAAATACCTATCTCAAAATCTACTCATAAAAGTGACAGCCCGTGTTTGGAACAATATATTCATTAGATTATCTGTCTCAAATACCGAACTTGTATACATTTGACTTGAAAACTATAGTTTTTTTTATTATACCGAAGCAGCCGCCAGGCAGAATCCTAAATGCCGGGACACAAAATATGTCTAAAAGTTACCTAATGCATGTAACATTAGTTATACAAAAAGCTGAACATAATTTTCTGACTCTTATAGATCTGAGTAGGAACTAATACAAGCTTAAGGTGCATCAGTATATTTATTGTGAACCATACTTACATGCTTACTCGAAGCGCTGTGGAATAATGTGATGAAAGTTAAGGCCACGATCAATGGCGACCTGGAACAAAATAAACGAAAGTTAACCAAATTGGAAATCTGCCAAATTTGTCATGTCGCGTTGATACCATTCCAATGACATCACATATTCATTGAACACCCTGCACCCTATGGCAAAAATAGTCTTCGAAAACTTGCTGCACCGCATGCTATGAAACTAATACGGTGTGGCGCGCAAAGTGCTTTGAATTATTTATAACCTGTTGATTTTTCAGAATTTACTTTCTTTGGATTTAGTTGAGAAGGCGTGGGGAAATTGATATCAAGACTTGGGAACACGCAGTATCAGAATAAGTCATCTGATTCCAAGTTTTAGTCAATTTACCTTTGTATCGCTGGAAGACGATGCACGGTAGTGCCAGGTGGAATTATCGAACGTTTACGTGAAAGTTTCCACTACTGATGCTCAAAATCGAATAATGAGCACTGTGTAAAACTATTCAAATTTGACGTTTCAATAATATGAAACTACAACGCCTTCACTGGATTTAACTGCGGCTGGGTTTTTTCTTTGCGGATATTTGATTATGTATGTGCTAACGACTCAGCCTACAAACATTACAAACTAACAATGCCCGAAATCTCACTGAAAGTTATGGAAGGCCCTGGAAGATCAAATGTACGAGAACCATAATGTGGCCGACATTTAAGAGATTTACCACTACAACTTCATTTTCCACTAGTATATAGCATGTTTCTAAAAGGACCACATCAATTATTGCTTAAGTAAAAAGTTTATAAGGAATTTTCACCGCAACTTTCATTTTGCGCCGCCCTGCGTAAGAAGCTTTAAGGTTGATTCTCACTATACATTCCGTTTCCATTCCATATCAGTTTCGTAAACGTCCAGTACAATTTGATTGTATACACAGTATACCTTACGGATAATGTGCATACACACGCAATAGCCTGCTTTAAGCGAAGGCGAATATTTAATTTCAATAATTTACGGAACGGTTACGGAATGGAAACGGAATGTATAGTGAGAATCAACATTCACTTGTAGATACGAACCAGATCTAAATCACTATATGGATACGATCTCTTAATAACGGTTTCCAGCACCTATTTGATATACACGATTCATTTGTATACTAAGAGTCACCTCAATGGTAATAATGATACATGAGAACATGTTGGGATGACCATTGCTGGGCTCCCAGTTTAAAAAAGTTTACATTGGAATGTATACTAAGTGACATATAAATACGAACACCCAGTTTAAATGGTTTTATTTTAATAAAATTTTGTATAAGTACTTGAAGCATTCTCCAACGCGCCTAGGCATGCTTCTGATCAGGTGGTCAATGTCCTCCTGTGGTATCTCATTCCAGGCAACCACCAACTCCTCTCGAAGTGCTTCTAGAGTCTGAGGAGGACGTTGCAAATTGAGCAATCTCCTACCCGTCATATCCCACACGTGCTCAAGTGGGGATAAGTCGGGAGATCTTGGTGGCCATGGTAACAATGTGACATCATTATCTTGAAAGAAGTCTATTGTGACTCTTGCAACATGTGGTCGGGCATTATCTTGTTGCAAAGTTGGATCTGCCAGGGTGTCAAGAAAGATGGGGTTCTAGAACTTCGTGGATATAACGCTGCGCGTTCATGTTACCTCTGATGAAGATTAAAGGTGAACTGGAACCATAAGCTATAGCACCACAAACCATAACTCCAACAGTGTGATGAACATGTCTTCCAACAAAAAACTGTGGATTCCTCCTTTCACCACGTCGCCTTCTAACCCTGGCACGACCATCGTGCATGCCTAAACAAAATCGAGACTCGTCACTAAAGACAATACTCTTCCATTCCTGATCCCAGAGTGACCGTTGTCTGCACCACTCAAGGCGATTACGTCGGTGTTCTCGAGTTAAAGGGAGGACCCAGTGTGGCCGGTATGAAAACAAGCCAAAACTTCTCATTCGTCGGTAAACACTTCGCATGCCAATAGGATCTTCCGTGTTCTGCAAACCATTCATTTGCAATGGACCTGGTAGTGAAGAAACGGTCCCTTAAGGCCAATAATCTTAGGCGGCGATCTTCACGGTCTGTTGTTCTACGGCGGCGTCCAGTGCCCCTTGCTCTTTGCGTACGGCCTTCTCGAAGCCATGCCTGACAACACCTAACCACAGTGTCTACACTTCTTTACAGTCTAACAGCAATTGCCCGAAAAGAACGTCCAGCTTCCCGAAGTCCCACTATACGGCCCCTATCAAACTCACTAAGTTGACCATATCGTACAGGTCTCCGTACTCTAGGCATCGTAACCGATCGTAAAGGATGTCAAGAACCAAAATCCGCCAACGTTGATTCTTTACTGCGGCTGAAATATTCATTTTTAGAGCGTTAGTGAATTAAAAAAAAGCAGTATAAAAATCGGAATGTCCAACTGATAAGGCTGAAAATTTTTTCACTTGTTATTTACAGCAAGATAAATACATTCACCAACTTTTATTAAAATAAAACCATTTAATCTGGGTGTTCGGATTTATATGTCACTTAGTATACATATTTACTGTAAATACAGTGTCCAGAATACGATGAAAACCATTAAAGGATGCTTGCTCTTATCAAGTGCATTTCTTGTTCGACTCTAATTGTGACAGACAACTTGTACCCAATTAGGATGAAATGTTGAAGTAAAAAAATATCTAGGTAGATGCCCTTGCTAGTGATTTTGAAGTTGATAGACTGCATGGGTATAAGGTTAATTTATTATGTGGCTAATGGGCAGATGCATAATCTGATTCATATAATTCAATATGAATCAATCAGCTTGATGCTCTAGGGCCTACTTAATTTAGAAAAATTGATAGCTGCATCATTATTGATATAATGGTTCGTGGTATAAGCAAATCTTCTGTGTACTTAAACATGTCCATGAAGAGTTCCGATATGGTCACGAGTAATCGGCAAAAAGAAGTAAAACTTCAGTACAGTTTAAATGCAACTATGATATTGTCATAAGTAATATTATAAGGGCATCTAATTTTTCCGACAAAAATCGAAAGAACATGTTGCTAAGTAATATTTTAACAAGAAACATGAGAGGTAGTGGCAACAAAAATCCCCGTCGAAGATGACGATTTTTACACCCGCACGAATGTTTTTTTGTTAAAAAAATATTACTTTGCATTGTTTTTTCGATTTTTTTCACAGGAAAATTTTAGATGCCCGAAGTAACAGATTACTGGTGTCCTAGGAGACCATAATTACTTGTTATCAAAGGTATTGTAATTTTTGGTGTCAAGTTTTGCCGGTAAACTTGAAAAAACTGCTGACAGGTGCTGTCATACAATTTTTCCATCTAGAAACCACTTGTGATTCAAAATTGCGCGTTTGAGATTGGTAGAAATTAAGACCAGGAAAATAGTTGTAATTTGAGACTTACGGTTAATTACTACAACAGCAACTTTAAATATGATATTACATATTGGACGTAGCTATCTAAAATTTTAATACAGCCAGTGTCACTTGCGCTGCGAGTTCAACGACACTTTATACGCCAAAATCCATCAAGCGACATGCGAGTAGCCAAGGCGGGAAGTAGGGGGTGGAAATTCCAAAAAACAGTTGTTTATTGGCGAGTGGGTTTTTGTTCTGGGTATTAGGGTATTGTTAGTGAATTCTGAATACAGCGATGTATGCATTTTGCAACTGTCGGTTTTATTATTATTTGTTGTATGATTTAACCTCTGCAATGTATTCGACTATATGTGCAATAAAATTCAAGTGAAAACTATGCGGCGAATGGTGCCATCCTATTTCATCAGGTTTGTAGTATACCCGTCGATAAACTCGAGTTGGAGTAATGCACTTGCTGTCAGGTGTTTTTCAGTTCTTTGTTCTCTTGCACCAGAGGTGGCGCTCGCACCACTTTGTTACACACAAATAGTGGCGCCAAAAGCTGCAAAAGTATAATCTTACTTTTTATCAGTCATCGACCACGCCAAAACTAGTGTTTAGGCATTTATTATTATTATTACATTTAGCTTTGTGAGAACAGGTGATATAATTTGTATATGAATGATTGACCATAAAATGATTATAATTATTTCTTTAATTTTAATTCCTGCCTTCACATCCGCAGGAAAGATCTTCCACAAGCCATAAAATCGCTAAATGATGAGAAATTTAGAACACTGGTTAGGACATCTATTTTAGCAAAATATACCTACCACTTAAAAAAAATGCCATGTAGATTTTGCTCCTTTCAACTGTAAAGTTGTTATTTATATTTTATGCACAGTATCCTTATACAACTTAATTTTGATCATATCATTCCAACTTATTTTAGGTTTAATATTTTGTATTTTTTTTTGTTGCGACTACGTGGCAGAATAGCACTATGCTAAACCTCGCCCCTAGTAAAGACGATTTATATTTTTTTGCAACGGTGGTTGCCTTTACTTGATGGAAATCCGTTTTACGTAATAAAAACACGAATGGTTTAATTTCTGCTATATTAGTCATTAATACGTGACGCGCGACTCACCCCAGCATGAGAGAAAGACACTGGGTGTCGAAATGCGCGTCATGTATTAATGACTAAGAAAGTGGAAATTAACCCATTTGGAGTGTTTTTGTTACGTAAGACGATTTATTATTAACAGAATGTAAAAAGCCCCATTAGGTTAGTCCTATTAAGATGGAAAGGCCCATTATTCAGCACTGGTGTGATACCAATCCACCAGAGGTCGCAGAAATACGGTAACTTATTTTAGTATTGGAGTTTTCCATCCCTAGGGTTTATCTCTGGCATTTATGTTCGTGCGATATATCTAAGTAAATCGTGGCAATCGTGCAATTATAGCAATTGTGATATATAATATTTATTTCTTTATTTGCTATTTCTCGGCTATACGGATTCCGGAGGTAGGAGGTAAATACAAATACGTATATATTGTCTAGGGGATATATTCAGGGTGATCCGTGAGGAAATGGACAGTAAAATATCTGGTGGGTAGTATTGGACCGAGGTATTCTCATATCTAAAAA